GGGCTGCGATCCACAAAGTTGGCAGTTTGAAACCACCAGCTGTTTCAAGGGAGAAAGACAGGGCTTTCCACTCCTGAAACGTGTTACAGTCTCAGAAACCCACAGTGGCAGTTCTACCCTGCCCTATAGGTTCACTATGAGCCAGCAACGACTCGAAAGCACTGACTTTGAGGGTGTTATTTTTGTTCGTTTGTTTATTGTTAGATTTTATTCTGGGTATACTTGGGGGTTAAGATTTTAAAATTATTTCAGGGCAATATTGCAGGAATTTGTTCACTGTTCAAAGTTTCAGAGGAGTCCGAAGTCAGAAAAAATTTGAAGTTCTCTTCTGAATTTCCCCCCTTTTGATCAAGATACTTCTAGGGAATCTTTGATCAAATGTTTATTACAGTAATCAGCACCATCCAGGACAATCAGCTACACATTCCATATACCCTCCTAGTCCTGATTCTTCTTCACTCTGTTTTTCCAGGTGAATAGATACCAATTACTGAGCCTGGGATGGCCACTTGCAAGTTTTTAAGCTCACAGTCCCTACACAATCAATTAGGATATAAAAGACAAAAGTACCAAATAGGTTATTAAGGCACTTAACTGGGATGTTAAATGAAACTATGAGTCTAAACCCCCAAAACAAGGCATCAAATCCCATGAGGTTTCTAGTTGTACATATGTAGCTACTCTTTTGTAGTTACTGTAAAAATGACTCTTGTCATCTCAGTTCTTTACAGGTGTACAACTTCTTGACAGCAATTAGAAAAATTGGTTGTAAAACCTTACCCTAAGTTGATGATAGAATTTTTTCCATCATCTTTAATCTCCCAATTTTTTTACCTCTGTCCCTCCCTATCCTCCTAACCCCACCACTAATAAATTCTGATTTCTATGTATCCACTATTTTTTGTTTTTTAACAAGTGATATCATATACTATTTTCCTTTTGTGACTGACTTACTTCACTCCACATAATGTCTTCAAGCTCCATCCATGCTGTAGCATATGTCAGACTTCATTTATCCCACATCTGAGCAGTATTTTATTGTACTTATGTCTCATTTAATGAGACACAAAACAATGTTTGTTCATTTATCTGTTGATCGGCATTTAGGTTTTTCCCATGTTTTGGCAATTGTAAATAGTGCTGCAATGAACATAAGTATCCAAATCTCTTTATGAGTTTCTACTTTCAGGTTTTGGGGTATATACTTAGGAGTCCTGTAAGGATATAAATTGTGTCCCTTTTCGGTGTTTCTTTCTTTTTTTTTTTTTTTAAGTTTAGAGAACAAAAAGCTCTCTGATGGGGCAAGATTGGGGCTACCGGGTGGATAAGGACTCCCCAAATAAATTCTCACAGGATAGCCCATACTATCCTCGAAGAATGAGCAGCTGCATTGTTTTGTGTGTGTTTGTCTGTGTGTGTGTGTTCTAAGTTCAACTTTGCTTGGCCTTTTTCTCATCAATGTAATTTCAATTTTCTTAAAATTTTTTCCTAATAACCCCTGTGTGTCCTTCCAAGAAAATCTATCAAGATTACCATTTTGGAAGGCAAACGGCCATCTAGCTGAGAAGCAACAAAGTCTACATGGAAGAAGCACACCAGCCTGTGTGATCATGAGGTGTGGAAGGGATCGGTATCAGGTATCAAAGAGCAAAAAAATGAAATCATTGTGAATGTGGGAGGAGTGCAGATTGGTGACCCAAGACCCATCTGTAAACAACTGGACATCCCCTTACAGAAGGGTCACGGGGAGGAGGCGAGCCAGTCAGGGTGCAGTGTAGCTATGATGAAACATACAACTTTCTTCTAGTTCTTAAATGCTTCCTCTCCCCCTCAACACCTCCCCACTATCATGATCCCAATTCTACCTTACAAATCTGGCTAGACCAAGGGATGTACACTGTACAGATAGGAACTGGAAACACAGGGAACCCAGGACAGATAATCCCTTCAGGACCAGTGGTGAGAGTGGCGATATGGGGAGGATGGAGGGAAAGTGGGGTGGGAAGGGGGAGCCGATTATAAGAATCTACACATAACCTCCTCCCTGGGGGGACGGACAACAGAAAAGTGGGTGAAGGGAGACACTGGACAGTGTAAGATATAACAAAATAATAATAATTTATAAATTATCAAGGGTTCATGTGGTAGGGGGGAGTGGGGAGGGAGGGGAAAAAATGAGAAGCTGATACCAGGGGCTCAAGTAGAACGCAAATGTTTTGAGAATGATGATGGCAACAAATGCACAAATGTGCTTGACACAATGGATGGATGTATGGATGGTGATAAGAGTTGTACAAGTCCCCAATAAATTAAAAAAAAAAAAAGAACTAACACTTTGGAATTCAAAAGAGTGGCTATAACCTTTTGAGCTCACTTCTCTGCTTTGAGTTGAATGGTCCAGCAAGTCCCCTCAGAACTAGTGTTTTCATTGGATCTTGCTCTCTGGATCAGATTGGTAAACCCAAGACTCGTCTCCAGTTATAATTCATTCCATAAAATAGTCTTCATCAGCATCAATTTTGCTTAAGATTAAAAGAATAGAAAAGTCAGCTCTTTAATCTAGCTGAGCTTCATTCAACACTTAACACCCATCCAGTCGAACGCTTGCTGAGTTCAAGATGTTCACTGAAGATGGAAAATGCCAAAACCATGTGAGCTCCCAACTTCAGTAGCTATCACACATCAGTGGTGATATTATGGTCTTCCTCCACCAATTTCTGAACTGCAGCCACAGTTTCTTCATTTGTTGAGATTGATAAGTCTTCCCTTTTCTTGGTTCAACTCTGAGATCTTCCTGACCTTCCTTAATGCCTGATTCATCTAAAAATTGTTCTTCTATGTAGGCTAGCATTCCTGTAAACTTGTTACAAAGCTTCAATGGTTTAGGGAGACGTCCAACTGCATTTTATTAAAAATTTGCTATCTCAAAATTGTTTTATCCATGATACAAAAATACTCCCTTTATTTTCTCAAGGCACCCAAGGTTAAGACAAGATTTGTCTGCATTCACCCACTATTTACAAAGACACATTTGAATATTGCATGTATAAACTGGAATTCTTCTTCTTCTTCTTTTTTTTTTTTGCTGCTACTGTTCTGATTTAATGCCAGAATGATTAAATATGATTTTACAATTTTATCATGTAAGCCTAATATCCCATAATTTTCCTTTAGAGGAAAATTATTTTTGTGCTGATGAAGAATATTTTCCAATGTATTAAATTTATAGCATTGTTCAGTTCTGTCCACACTTCTTTCATGTTGCGAGTGCTCAACCAAATGATCATCAGCTTTGTGGATCTTGATGGAAACCAGGATGCGAAAGTTCTCCAACATCACATCCTGAAATAGCATCTTCTGAGCAGGGTTCAGGAGTAGCCATTCCTCCCAGATGAACTTCACAGCCACATCGTTGAATGTCAGTGATTCCTGAGGATTGGTCATTTTCTTCGGTCCTTATAACACTGCCGGCAAATGAGATGCTCCATTTTTGTCTTATCTGGATCAGTTCTAATGATGTTCACAAATTTGAATCTCTCATGAGGGCACCCCAGAAATAATAATAGCCAAACAAGGCACTTCACTTCTTCCTCTTTCCTCTAAGATGCTGGTGATGCACAATCTGCAGGCCTGTTTGGAGTCAGGTGAATGGATTTGGTTCATATCCCAGTCAGAAATTGAAATCCTTCCTTGTGATGCTTCTATGTGCAAGACAGTAGTAAGAGATTTCTAACTCCCTAGACTGGACCATATTTCTTTGTTCCGTAGAAACTCGTGGGACGCTCACTGGGATCTTCTCCTAAACTGGAATTCTAGCAGCAATTATTTTTTAACTTATACACACAAACACAACATACACCCATGGGGGCTGAGCTTTGAAAAAGTACATACATACTTGAGTATAAGCCGACCCAAATATCAGCCGAGGCACCTAATTTTACTACAAAAACAGAATTTAAAATGTACTGGAGAAAAAAAAAAATGTACTGGAAAAACTCGGCTTATACACGAGTATATACGGTATATGGGAAAATGGACTTGAAAAATTGAAAGGTAATAGAATTTCCCCATACACTTTTAAAAGCTTCCTTGTAGCCACCATGTGTACACACACACACATCTAAATGAAACACTATGTAATAGAGAACAGGTAGAAAATAAAGCATAAATTTTTACTCTATACACCAGAATTTCCCCAATACAGGGGTGGTTTTTAACAGGCCTTCAAAGAGTGGGATCTATCTATATTGCACAGACCCCTAAAGAAAGAAAGAGGACTACTGGCATTAAAGTGCACCATACATCCTTAGATGGTTAACCGAAAGGTCAATGGTTCAAAACCACCAGCTGCTCTTCAGGAAAAAGATGTGGCAGTGTGTGTACATAAAGATTACAGGTTTGGAAACTGTGTGGGGCAGTTCTACTATATCTTACAGTCACCATGAGTTGGAGTTGACTGAATGGCAACAGGTATGCAACCTCAGAAGAGGACATGTAGTGTGCATTATTCTCCAAACTAAACTTGAGCAGGGAACCCTTCTTTCTCTACCCTTTTCACAAAACTAGCGTTTGTGGAATTCACTCTTAAAAATGGTGGGTATAAACTATAATAAGAAGCACAAAAATGGAGTAAGTCAAGTTGGTTAGTGTTTCTATTTCTCTTTTATTAGATAAATTTCATACGGGTGGTGACTTATGGAAGGAAGATCTGGAGGAAGAAAGAAAATGAGTTAAAGAAACAAGACAGAACCAATGGTCTGAAAGAAGCTGAGTCAGAAAGCATGATCAGGGGATACACATACATGGCTCAAGCTAAGATAAAAGAAGTGGTGAATAAGTAAACAAACAAAAGTTTTCAATAAGGGAGAAAAGATGTTTTAAAAGAAGCTATACCAACAAACATTTGGGCAAAATATTCTTGAACCTTCAAAAGCAGATAAAGCTAATAAAATTATGAATGTCTACTCTAAGATCTTAAAGGTTGATACGAAGTTACTTACTTCACTAGAGCAGCTGCTTCGGGAAGTACATCAGCAAAGGACTCACGAAATATGATTGCATTCTTCCTTTTACAGTTCTGTATGACATCGTTGGCAAGATAGAAGAGATTCAGACGATGAGGATAGGCAGCTAGAAATGATAAGAGACGATACATAAAACTAAATAAGTTTATCTGAACTTAGTTCAACTTATTCCAAATAAGGTTCTTAAACTAACAACTATTACATGACTAGGATGGATAGTGAATAAACACATAAATGAATTAATGGATTAATGTATTGAGTGTCATACCTAAAAACTGTGGCTGTAAAGGTTTCTTTCTGTTCAAGTATTCCTCAAGCAGAGTTCTATTTTATTTTATGGAAGTCCCTTAATTCTAGAGAAGCTGAAATAAAACAAAACTGCTATACCTAGCATTTGGGAAGACAGATGCATTGATCATTCTAATAAATAACTAAGGAGTTAGGCTTTGGAAATCTAATCAGAATGTGACCTTAAGCAAGTTATTTAACACTGTATAAAAACCAACATCATTATTACTGTAGATAAATTCTCCACATCAACCAATCCACTACTCAGTGTTGCCTAAGTGCTGCTCCAAGGAAGGAAAGCCTCACTGCTACTTTTATCACTAGGTGAGGACGTCAAATCACCGGTGAAAGTTTTTGATGTTTTAAGTTTTTATGTTGGGCTGCTATACGAAAGTTCAAAGCCTACCAGCTGCGGAGAGAGATGAGGTGTTGCACTCCCATAAAAATTCAGTTTTGGATACTCACAAGGACAGTTTTACTCTGTCCTACAGAGTGTCTATGAGTGGGATCAATTCAATGGCAGTGAGGTCTGTTTGGGGGTAAGTTAAATTTTTGCAAAAATAAATGAGACATAGCTTAATCAATGAAGATTTCTGAGATCTTGGGCAAAGCCACCTAAGTTTCATTACTATACTGAACACTTCAATCTTGTTTGTATGATCCATTACATTTTCTTGTCACTGAGCTTCTTGATCCTAAATTCAGTGACTTCGACGAACCAATCAATCCCTTGTAAATTTTAAAATCCCCTCTCTCTGACCTGAACCTATAACTTCCATTATTCTTTTTCTTCTTTTTCTTCAATTTCTTCAAAATCTTAGTTTTTATTCCCCAACCGTTTTATTGGCACGTAATCCACATATCACACAATTCAATAGTTCAATCACATCAAGAATAGTTGTAAAATCATTACCACAATCCATTTCAGATATTTAATCCCACCCCCTCACCCCCGTGGTTAAATCACCTTTTAAATGAGTTATGTAATCACCATTAGTTCTGTTACCTTCCCCCCTCCCACATATTGTTTCCCTCAACCCACTCACCATCCCTATCTCCCACCCTCCACACCTACATCGTCTACAGACCCTTGTGACAGTTGTTATCTCTGTGCATCTACTCCTTCCATGCTTCACAAACTGGAAAACCCACCAGAAACCGTAATAAATAAATACAGTGGTAAGGATAAAATAGTAATACAGATAAAAGTACAAATAGTGGGTAAGAAAGAAAAGACCGACCATCATGAATATTTAAAAGCCAGGGAAGGAATCTGTGTCATGGAACAAGAAAGAAATACTTGTACCTGGAAGAATCTTGTGGGGATATGCCATAGGCTTAATCTGACTGGATACCCTGCAGATGGGGTTTGGGCTCCCACTATCCTCCATAGTCTTCTACAAATTCGGTGTTCACAATTTAAGCTCTGATACTTTTCCCTTCATCATATTTGAATTTTGCTATTGTCATCTTTGGATCACACAAGCTGGTGCACTTCTTCCTTGTGGACTTGGTTGTTTAGACAGTTGCTTGTTTGAATACAAGCTTTTAATTAAGACCCTAGACATTATTCCTATTGATAGCTGCCACAATCTGCTTTCTTCACCACACTTTGCTGTAGCACCCTGATCTTCTGTGATCATTTCATGAAGGTGAGTATGGAGCAGGGCCATGTTATCAGAACTAACTGTTCTTGGATTGGGGCTAGAGTTCAGTGAAGGCCCAGAATCCATCTGCTTGTCCCTGAGATATTCACGACTCAGGTTTATTTTGGCGGTCATATTATTACAAATTCAAGATCTCTGTGTTTTATGTTCACCAGTTCTACAGTCTTTTCTGACATTCTATTCTATCATTTCCAAAGTCGTCATTGCTACTCCAGCCAACCTCCAGCTTAACTTTTAATTACACATTTTTTTTAAAAGCCTCACTGCCATGAGTCCACGCCAACTCATAGCAACCCCCTATGGGTTTTCAAGCCTGTAACTGTTTACAGGATTAGAAAGTCCCATCTTTTTCCCAAGGAGCGCCTGGTAGTTCTGAACTACCGACCATGCAGATAGAAGCCCAACATGTAACTACTATGCCACCAGGGGTCCTTACACATACCCAACAAAAATTCTAATTCTGAATCAATATAACCTAATGCTTCAAATACACCTTTATTTCTGCCACTGGGTTTTGCTGAAGAAAATTCATACCACCAGGAGGGCTGAAATCAAATAAATTCATAAATCTTAAGCTGGGTTTTCAGTGCTACTAGTACCTGATCAATATCTCCCATTTGTCATTAGAGTTTATTTCAACTTTTTAGCATTTGGGTCAAGCCCCCGTTCCAATTACCTACCTCTCACTCATAAGATTGTTTAATGTATTATTTCACAGAGGAATCAGAAATTATATAGGAATTATGTTTTGCTTTTTAAGTGTCTACATGAGTCAGAATTGACTTGATGGCTATGAGGTTTTTTTGGGCGTTGGGGGGTTGGAAACAACGTATCTATTTAAAGAGTATTACTTCTCTTATTAAAGAATAATCCCCCCCCAAAATAATAATAAATAAAGAATAATCCCTCCACAATGCAGTTTCCTAGCGGCCTTTCTCCTTAAGAACTTTATAGTGTTCCCCCTGTATTTTAAACCGCTCCCTCGGTGGCACTGTTGGGTGAACACTATACCACTAACTCCAAAGTTGGCAGTTTGGATGGCCTAACCACTCACTCGCCCTGCCTCAGATGAGGCTATCTGCTCTCATAAAGACTGACAGTCTCTGTGACCAACCAACACAATCATTCAATAGCAGTGGGAGCTTGCTCTTTACTCGTGTGCTCATCTGACATATTTTATGCTTACCTCTTCCATCTTAACCAGCATTCTTAGGACCACCATAGGTTCCCCTCAAGCCTGATCCATTTCCTTCTTTGCCTTGTCTCCAATTTCACTCCCACTGACACCATAAATACAGGACTACTTTTTTATAACCTTTAAAATATGCAATCAGGAGGCACTTCCTAGGGATATCCAAATAACTTGTAAAATTGGTTTACTGGATTAAAAGGTCTAGATCCATAGTCTTATGGGACAATTTAGTCAACTGGCAACATAGTTCATAAGGAAGCTCTCCTTTGGCTTCTGTCATAACCATTCTCCAACCTGTCCATCGCCCAGCCTCTCTGGTTTCCTCCTCCATTATCATGTACAAGTAATTAGTTGTGCCTATGATTACCCTCTCTTAAAATACTAGTGCTTCCCATGGTTTTCTCTTAAGCACGCTTCTCTATTCATACAGAGTATGCTAGCATTCTAAGATTTCAGACTATATTAAAACAGTTTAGTCCATTCCTGGCTCTGTTACTTACTTAGCTATGGGGCCCATAAACACTTTTTAACTCTCCTATATGTCATTTTCCTCTTTCATAAAATGCTACCCACATAATCATCTATATTCATAATTTTAACTGCCACCATCTATGTATTAATAACTCCCATATCCTTAAACATCAAGCCTGGATTTCCTTATATCCGTCAAAGTACACATCCACTTCAAATCCTACAGATACCCTGAACCTGACCTTTTTAAAAAAAATCGTTTTATTAGGGGCTCATACAACTCTTATCACAATCCATACATACATCAATTGTGTAAAGCATATTTGTACATTCATTGCCCTCATCATTCTCAAAACACTTGCTCTCCACTTAAGCGCCTGGCATCAGGTCCTCATTTTTTCCCCTCCCTCCGAACCTGACCTTTAATTGTCATTCTCTTCTTCCATCTGTTACTGCTCTTGTATTTCCCCAGAAATTCTTATTTACAGAGAAATTTAACAATCATTTTACTCTTACTTCTATTCCCCCCATTCAATAAATCTTGCCCAGCCATTTCTTAGCTCCAATATTTCTCAGAAGGATCCCCTTTCTTCTTCCTATTGCTCTTTGCTGTGTTCATCATGTTTTACTTGGACTACCACTGTGACACTAATGTGCACTTTTCCCAAAAACAAGTCACCCCCAAACGATCATCACTATTTCTCCCCCATGTGAACCCTGTACTGAAATCAGAGCACTCTAGAGAGAACTGAAAAGTAAACTGGCTGACACAGGCCAGGAAGGTGCTTAGAGGCACTGGGATCTGAGGTCATTTGGAAATACTTTTTCTAAATTCTCTGCAACCTGCTATTGGTGTTCATTTCTCTCCCTTACATTGTATCACTTCTAAGTCACGCTCGCCTCCTGCTCTTTCTTCCCTCAGACCACCCTTAATTCATTGTAGTAGACTTGCCTATACTTCCCACAAGACAATAAACTCCCTGAGGACAGGGATTTTTGTTCTGTTTGCTGTTGTGTCTTCAATGACTAAGTATCTAGTAGTTGGTTAAATGGTTAAATGTTTAAGGAAATACTTAAATTTGCATAAGGAGCCCTGGCGGTACAGCTGAGATACAGTCAGCAGTTGGAAACCACAGCTCAAAACCACTGGAGCAAGAAGGGGCTTTCTACTCCCCTCTAGAGTTACAGTCTTGGAAACCTACAGGGGTGATTAAACTGTCCTATAGGGTTGCTATGAGTCAGCATTGACTTTATGACAGTGAATCTCTGAGTTTTTTAAAAATTTACTTGGGCATGAAAAAATGAGGAAAGCATTCTTGAGAAAACAAGTCATGGGTAAAGGTGCTCTTAATAAATAGCAATGTACGATGAGTGACTTATTTAGAATAAAGGAGAAACGTGTGATAGAATTGTTTTGTTTGACAAATACCTACAAAGCACTGTCAGTCTGCCAGATACTGTTCTGAGGATGCTATAAACATT